GGGTTTTTATTTCAGTTTAGGGGTTTTTTGAACGAGTGCCACCACCCCGTAGTCCGCGACGCGCGCATGCGGGGCGCGAGGTCGCGTTCAATTTTTATGCGCCACATGGCGCGCAACGCGTTTGAACGCGATTGAACGCGGCCGTGCGGGGTATGAACGCGCGCGTTTGAACGTAAACGCGCGTTCGGCGCGTTCAATCAGTTACACAGCAGTAAGGTTATCCCGTGCATCGAAGATGTAGTTACATCCATTCTCCCCAGCTAGCATGAAAAGCAGGTCTAGGTGTACGACTGCACGCACTTCCTTCTCCAGCCTTGGGTGCAGGGGCTCCCTTGGTCTTTGCGCCGACCTCTCCTGACAGGGTACACAAGACTGGCAGTACTTGATAACCATAGTCAGCATCCCATCCCAATGGTACAATTCGCTTATCTTTGCGCACGTGGCACCTATCCCTCTGTGCCCCCCTGCTATACCATCGTGTAGGGATGCTATAATATCGATCTGCCAGTTCCTCCCACATACAATTCTTTTGGGATTCCCGACCTGTCGCTTTATGAACAAATGGCCATCTCTTACTACGTAGAGGTGCTTCATCTTCTTCGCTTTGGCACTCGCGTCTCTATCCCTCATCTCACAGGACAGGAGTAGCCCTAGCTCCAGGTAAATCCCATCATACTCTTCTGCCCGAAAGACTTCCTTGATCTCTCCTTCCTCGAACTCATCATCCCGACTCTCAGGAATGACGTCCTCCCTTTCCATAGGACTAAAAGAGTTCTTCCGATCAAAATCTCCCTGCAGAAGTGTGTTAGTGAGCAGGTACATTCCTCCCATCAACTGCTCATGCTCCTCTACCTGAGTTGGGCCTTCCTCTATCGTCCTCACTTCCTCCGCCAAGCTGTGAGTGTCTGCCAACGCCAATTTCATCATCCAGTGGACATCTTTACTCCCCCACGGATCCTCCTCCTCGAAGGGCTTGAGGACCAACTCCTCCTTTTGCTCGTACCCCTTAGGCGCTAGCCATATGGGGTGACCGACACAACTAGGCACCCGCAAGGACATTCATTTATATGAAGGCGGACATCCTCTTCCTGATCCAAGAACCCATCAACTGGCGGAGTGTCTTCTATCGATTTCTGATCCGATTCATCCCAGTTGATGCGGCTCAGCCCATCTGCCCTGTTCTTGTCCCCCGGAATCCTCTCCAGCTCAAAGTTAAACATCCAAAAGTAAGTCAACCATCTCGCGACGGTTGGGTCCGATGGGGTATAGTTCTTCAGGGAACAGGCGAGCGCAGTGGGGTCCACCCTTAGTACAAACCTCCTGCCGAAAACGTAGTTCCGAAAGATCCTCAGACAATGGAGTACCGCGAGCGTCTCCTTCTTAAACTGAGAGTAGTTCCTCTCAGTCGTATTAAGAGTCCGACTCTCAAATCTCAGCGGCCTCTCCTTCCCCTCGGCATCCGCCTGGATCAGAACTCCTCCCAAGGCAGTAGGTCCCGAGTCCGTCTCGATGATGAATGGCTTCTCCTCAGTGACCTCGTAATTTGGCGTCCCCAACACCAGGCCTCCTTCTTTAAACTCTGCCTTCATCTGCTTCACAGCCGACTCCTGATCTCCACCCCAAACCCATTCCTGGTCCTGACGTACGAGCTTCCTTAAGTGCTCCGTCTTGGCGGCAAAGTTCTTTACAAAACTCCTCCAAAACCCACAAGTGTCGAGGAAGCTCCTTACCTCCGTGATTGAGCGGAAGGGTACTGGCCACTCCACGATTTTGTCTGTCTTCTTCACATTAGGCCTTCGGCCATTCTCATTACAGACGAAACCTAGGATGGTCGCCTCCCTCATACAATGCTTGGACTTCGGGCCACTCGCCGTAAGGTTGTACTCTTCCAGCAAGCTCAAGACCTGAGCAAGGTCTTGGACATGCTTCAAAACAAACCGCCTTACCCCAGACATCACTTCATCTTCTTCCCTTTTCTTTGGACCTTTGACCGCCAAGTCGTCAATATAGGGCTGGGTGATGTGTGGGCTGACCGTCTGCATGGCTCTAATCATATGCCTTTGCACCATCGCCACTGCATTCGTCCAGCCTTGAGGGGCTACATTCATATGAATTAGCCCTCTGGGCGTGTGCATCGCCGTCACAGGCCTGTCTGGTGGGTACACAGGGAATTGGTCATACCCAGAGTAGAGGTCTATAAGCGAAATTATAGGCCTCCCCGCGCATGACTCTGACAGTGCGTCCGTGTTCGGCAATCCTCCTGCATCCCGCACTGTCACGGCATTCAGCCGCTGTAAATACTGCACCCACCGCAACGTCCCATTTGGCTTAATGAAGCAAAACCAAGGGGATGTGTATGGCCCGCTAGAATAGTCGGCAACATTCGTGCGCATCTTGCCATCCAGGTAGTCCACCACAGCAGATCCTCCATCTTCCCCAAGATGGTTATGGCCGACTCCCTCTCGTCTTCCTGGCCCTCGTCATCTGACTCAACGACTATCGGCTCCTCCTTTATAGTCCCTGCCTTTAGCCGTTGAGTTACCTCCTCACTTTCTCCCACAATCTCCTCGACCCTTACAGCAGGGTCCTCACTCTCCTGCCACATCCTGAACATGGCTGGGGTGCTGGCCCTGCTGCCGCTCGCCTCTGGGCCTCCTGCCTGACTCCCCCAGGTGTCTTCGGGTCAATATACTTCCCATATTTATCATATATATCTCCATCCATGTCGGTGGAGATCAACCCGGAGAGCTCGTCATCCTGCCGCCCTTGACAGAATCGTATAGTGTGGCCTTGGTAGCCACAATGCCAGCAGGTGGCATGCCGCCAATGAAAGCGGGGCCTTCCATACCCTTGGCCCCCTTCCTAGCCGCCTTGGCCACCTTGGTCCTGGCCTCCTTGGCCATTCCATCCACCTCCGCGACCCCCGCCATTTCTTCCTCGGCCTCGGCCACCGCCTCCTCGACCCCCTTGGCCTCGGCCTCAATTGCGCTCTCCGCCTTGCCCCTGGTTCCCTCCTCCGGCCACGCTAACCTGCGACGCCTGTTGCGAGGGTGGCGGTTGGGCCACAAACTGACCCTGAGCCGCATGATAACTTGGTGGACCCGCCTCTGCCGGTGGGCCCGAATATGGGACCATCTGTCCAGTGTGGGCTTGGCTCCCTCCACACGAGGTGCAGTGGTTGCAACTGGGCCAGGGTGCTATCTGACAATACGGCACCCAGTGCCCACAAGCCGGTGGCGGCCCCATTTGTGATGGCCCTGCTGACACTGGTGCTGTCGTGGTGGCAGGTGGCGGTGCAGCAATTGCTTGAGGGGCCTGCCCCTTTCCTGATCCTTAACCACCCAACAGCAAGTTGTGCTGCTTCCGCTGGGCTTTGGTCAGGACCTGGGAGCCCGTTTCCTCCCCACCGTAGTCCTCGCGTCCGACCTCCTCATCCGCTGCCCATGATATCCGACATTGGGTCACAGTCACCCCCTTTTTCTGCACCTCTGCCCCATTATCATAGCCCAACGCTGCCAGCACCTCTGTAACGATCCTCTTTACCCCTGGGGTCCCAGATGCGGTGGCGTCCCTTTCCTTTCTTTTTTGCCTCTGTAGCCGCATCTGGTGCTGCTCCACCTGGTCCAAACTCCCCTCTTCCACTCCTTTATCGATAGTGGCCCAGGTGAGCTTCTCACTTCCCCCTCCGTGACTCGTCAGTTCCGAAGCCTCCGTGCCAGTAAGCAAACCCAAGAAGATGGCACATTGCGCCTCTTCAGAAATCCCGTGCACCTTCCTTGCCTTCTTCTTGAACTCGTGCACGAACGCCCCGATCGTGGAAAAGTCATCCTTATTCATGGCTTCCAAGTCAGCCATAGTCAACAGGCCGTCCCCCAGCCTGTGCTTCCTCAACATCCCTTCCTTAAACCTTTCCCAACTGTCTTCGGCGGCGTCCACAACCTTGCTCACTTCCTGATGGTGGCTATGGAGGACGTATCTCATAATCCGCTGAAATATTACCTCGTCTGCCAGTCCCACCAGCGCCTGCTCAACCAGGTCCAGCCAATCGGACACCCGCTCCCCTTTAAAATGGAATGTATCAACCTTCGGGACATTGCTCGGCGCCCTCTCACACTTGTCCAGGGCCTCGATAAGATCGTCGAGCGTCAGGGTCTTTCTAGGGATGGCGCCCCCACCTCCTGACATCTCGGCTGACTGTCTCTTGCTCAACCTTCCTGTTAAGCGAAGAAATGGAAAGCTTCATTCAGCAGCCCAGCTTAATATACTTCTATCAAGCCTCCCACTTCCTCCCTACATTCCCTCATCCTCACAAACACTACTTCTACTACCAGGCCTACTCTAATAGGGTCTACTTCCTTCATGAGACTTTCTATACAATTTTTTAATCACGCAGTCGCCTCAACTACCTGTTAGATCCGTTAGTGATCAGGTCTCACATACACATAACCACGCAAAATACCACGCCGCTCACCTGTCGAGCGCATCGGTCCGGCACCGCACCAGGGCAGTGCGGGACCCTCCCGGCCGCGTCACGCAGGAGTTGGTTTAAATCCTTCGTCGCGAATATACATGGAGCTTCTGCAAGCCACTCCGGCCGAGTGCGCCAGCCATACCTCCCGCGAGCCCCTACGATAGGATAGGGCCTACGCGAGGCACGACTTACCTCCACCTAACGGGAGTTTTCACCTCCCTTCGGTGGGCGTATCCCCGCCGAGCTACCAGTCCACAGTACGAAAGTTGATCAGCTGCAATCGCAGAGGTGGACCAGCCGAGGGCGTTTCTCGTTCGCTGTAGCATAGGGGGCACACGCGGTAATACGCCTCTATCGAACCCGCGCGCGAACCGACATCTTTGGGGGGCTGAGGTCCCAAGCGCAACTCGTCGCCGGTCGACTAGGACGCATCCCACACACCACACGCACACCACTCTAACCAAAGCAGAAGTAAAACGCACACACACACACATCAAACAACGCGACAACACTCCTAGTCCCTTAGTAGCCGTCCCATAACTTCCGGACGTGGAAAATCGGATAAGCGTCGTGCGCAAGACTTAGTATAAAACCGTGCGGACGCAGGACTAACTCATATCGACTCGCAATGCAAGCGTACGCAGACAGTCGCAATGATGGCGTACTATGTAGTACCCATACTCATGCGGTCCTCGTTAATCTCGAGGGTCGCATTTGATACTCAAGTGTCGGCTGACACGCGCTTTGAGGGTTAATCTCTCAACGTTGGACAACCGCCATGCGCGGTTGAAGACCACACACCCTCTTTTGCACCCTGTGCAGAGCGGGTGGTACACAGGTCCGTACCTGTAGTGGCAGTCGTTTCTTGCGGCCTTGGGGATGAGTCCTACTCCAGGCCTGGATAGAAGTCAAGGGGTTTGACTTTGACGGCTGCCACGGACTATAACGTCCAACCATGATAACTCTAAAAAGCAAAAACAGGTCGGAGCCCCCCCCCCCTCTCAGAAAATCATAACCTGGGGTACCCCTCTTTTCGGTTGGTACCAGCGGCCTATAATAATCCCAAACATTCGGGCATACATGCAAGTTCCGTAATCCCATAACTTTTAGACACAAGCACGGCGAAGTGTCGCGCACAGGATTCTAATATAGAGACTCGTGGTTTGTAGGCCAGCCCTATACCAACCAATGATGCTAGTCATACGTGGTAATCGCGGCTCCGGCCTCGCGATATTGAATGGCTGAAGGAATATATCGTGAGGGGTTACCCCTCATGATATTGAACGGCTGAAGGACATGTCGTTCAGCCCTCGCGATGCTTCTGCCCCTAGGGTTAGGTGTCTCGACGGGCAGAGTAGATAGGCTATGCGCGAGGGGAAGTCCCTTCCCTGCAGAGTCTAGGGCTTGGGATGTCCTAGACAAGGACCTTGAATCTCGGCCCAAGACCAACGTCCGACCAAGAAGCTCTCAAGAAACACCCGAATGAAAGGAAGGGTCTTCCTTATGCCCCTTAGTCTTAGCCTCTGGATAAGCTTTTAGTACGAGGCCCTTTGGGCCACGCAAACACTCATCATAGATGCACCCACGTATACGCATATAAAGAGATAAGTATGTGACGATCACTTCTCACAGTATCAGTGGGATTCTCCACAACCATATGTATATATATGTGATCCCAGGCAATCAAAGTCCAGAATCTGAGCCATAGAACATACCTGCAATCACACCCAAGAATCAAACGACAGTCCACGCACTACACGGAGTCAACCCCAACAGTTCTCTGCACTCATACCCCTCGCTTTAGCCATGCAAGCCCCAATCTCCCGTCCAACCAACCATAATTAAATACTCAGCACCTTTGTTAAATGGCCATTCAATAAAAGTCCGGGTGAAACCTTAACAAAACAACAAAGATCACCAGAGCTAAAGCCTTTTAGGTTGAGTCCGGGGAGTGAGTTGGAATTGAGTCGTAAACCGACGAATCGGCAACCGATCTGTTATCAGTGATAACAGAAGATGATCCTCGTAGGATCGAGCTGAATGTAGTCCAGATCTTGAACCAACTGATCAAGAGGACCTGTAACACATGACAGGCCAATCCCCAAGCTAAATCTATAAGTCCTTGGAGGATAATCACGATCTCACTCCAAAATCTACCTACCTAACTAAGCCTAAATCTACCCTTAGCAGTGCCCAAAGCAAAGGTAGACCTTGGCAGAGTTTCCCCTATACAGAGTGGACCGCCAGAATCGCCACCTGTCAAAATATAATCTATCTCCTTTAAACTAAGAAATTTTTGGCAGCGCTTCCCGTAGGAAAGGTGCCTTTTCAGAATTTAAATCAGCCCGAATATGAAACCAAAAATAGTCTTTGACTATCCAAAGTTCAATTTTTGTCCAACTCCCTGAATTAGCAAAAATTTGAGCAGCACTCCCTTTAAAAAATGAGACTTTCCAGATTTTTACTAAGTCGTATATGAACTTTAGACGAGTCGAAGTTGACTAACTCCTTAGATTTTACAAAAATTTCGGCAGCGCTTCCCGTAGAGAAAGTAGCTTACCAAAATTTATACAAGCCAAGTATAACAAAAGATCCCAGAAAATGCGAGAATGGATCTAAGTAAAATAAACTTAGCCCAGAAAATGCAGGAATTGAGGCTAACTCCTATCACTCTAGCACGTGGCGAGCGTCTAAAGCAACTACCTGTCAAACTGAAACTCAGACCAAGTAGTAGCCTCACTCAGTCACATGCAGACCAAACCACAAAGGTAAGTACTCTCGCCATCCCAAGGTCAATTTAACAAACAATAGTTCATAGTCTTTCAATACTTTACCCCTTTATACCCTGCTTACATAAGGCGTAAAGTCAGGCCATCGAATCTTATGGAACATGCCTGACTCAGCCATCAAGTATACACGAACAGGTTGCACAACTACTTCTCTTTTCCTTGGGCGTATGACTAAGCCATTCATCTTAGAAACAATGCTTAGCCGCCCTGAACTGTTTAATACCCAAGTTATATATACCTCTCTGAGCTTAGTGTTCAAAACCTGAGCGTAGGACTGAGTCATTCATCTTAGAAACAAAGCTCAGCCTGCCCAAAGTTACCTTCAATTATATTCTTAGTTATACTCTCTTCAAATTTATGATAAGCTATAGTCAGACCATCCAATCTTATGAAACCCTTGTCTGACTAGCCTGTTCTTAAGTAAGATAGTAATAAAATATAGCCAAATTATAACCTTTTGGGTTCCAGCATGTGCGAGGCATTGGACCAAACCATTCAATCTTATGGAACATATCTGGTCCTTTGCCAAGTTCATTCCTCTCTGATCCATTTGTGTGTGGCATGAGTCCAAGGCCATCCAATCTTATGGAACATGCTTTGTCCTCAGCGAGAATTACTCCCTCAGAGTAAAACAAACAAAAGAGTTGAGCCATTCATCTTAGAAACAAAGTTCAACCCTCTTTTCTCAGCAAAAAAAAAACAGAGTACTCTGAGTTAGACCTAAAGACTGTTCAGAAAAGACCCAGAAAAAAACAACGGCCAGACCATTCATCTTAGAAACAAAGTCTGACCCTCAGATTTGCACAGCCAAAACCCCACAAAATAAATAGCCAGGTCATTCATCTTAGAAACAAAGCCTGGCGAAATTAAATAAACACAACGGCCAAGCCATTCATCTTAGAAACAAAGCTTGGCCTTTTAAGAAAACCAGAATAAACATAGCAGTCAGGCCATCCAATCTTGTGGAACCATGCCTGACCCCATAAGACCCTCCCAATCTTAGGCAAAACCACCTTTCTCCCAACCTTTCCCCCGATGCAACTCCTTTTCTTAGACAGCTCTGCTTTCAGAGAATCAAGAGAAGCTGAAACTGTCATTGCACATGCATTCCTGTACTTACTCTGACTTGTGTCCTGAAGGTCAAACCAAAGTCAAAGTAGGGGTGCATGCAATATACTCAACCAACCATAGAAAGATATACAGATAAGGGTTACACTTGGGTATACAAAGGGGAAGCAATGTTTACCTCTCAGTTCCCTGCCTCCAGAACTCCTCCTAAGTTCCGGCAGAGCTCCCGTAATCGGTGGGGCGAACCTTCTACAGAGGCCTTGGCGCGGATTACGGGTTGCAATCCTGCCTGCCGCCTTCCTGTCAGAACCAGTAGACTAGACTTGGAGTAAGAAGGGCAGAAGGAGGAGGTTTTTAGACTATCAGATTCAAGGAGGGTGCTCTTAGACTCGCAGGAAAGGGCCTTGATACCTTCACTCGCCTGAGGGCCCCGCAATGGCGGCCAACCAATAGCCGCTTGGTCAAACTTGACTTCAAACTGCTGAATCACCCTCCTGACGATCCCCCAAATCGCAACACTAACCTCCCCTCTCAAGCCCAACCACTCCTCCTTAGCCCGATCGCTGCTACAAAGCAGCCTGAAGTACCGACGGACTCCACAGAATCTCAACAGACCATCATATGCTCGTTACTCGTGGGCAGCTGCCAGGTGCCGTAGACACCTATGGTACAAGCTTCACCATGTCGCCGCGCTGTTCGGCAATTCGTTGACACTCAGTATGTCAGATACTGGCTGTAGCAGTTAGGCCGAAACAGCATGCGGCCACCAGCGGTAGTCAACAGAAGCTTACCGGGCAGGGGCTCAGCAACCAGTGGCCCGACGAGCACCAACAGCCCCCTTTGCAGACCTTCCAAGCTGTAGCATTAACCGCCCTCCGCTTCTCATGACGAGGCTGCAGTCATACAGGCCCCTAGGCAGCTGTACGCGGAACAGCACAGTAGTCCACAGTAGGCTCAATACCAGCTGTAGCAAAAACGCAGCTTAGAACAAGCAGTGGAATGCACAACGGTGGGCAGTGAAACTGTCATCTGCATGGTCATACCAGCAGTCACTCAGTAAACAGC